GAAATCCCTTTATCATGCAGGGTGCTTTCTAGATGGACCCAGCTCCCATTGCTCTTCCACAGTGTCTGATTTGTTCAGGCCGCCTTTAAATCTACACCAAATGTCCTCTCACCGTGTGCCAGGATAGGAGGGCCTGAGGTGAGCTGTTTCCTGCAGGGACAAACACCTTTTGTTTCCCCTTTGCAGAAGGAGATCCAATCTATGGGTCTGGCCTTTAAGCCTCGGTATCTGCTGCGCTGAAATGCTCCGTGGGTATGTTTGCAGGGGAGCGTGCAGGGACTTGCTAGGGAAGGGGCGATTATCTGCCTGGAACAACAGCAGCCTTTTCCCCAACAAGCGGGAGCTTGTGGGTGGGGAGGATCCAGAGCTGAGCAGGAATCGGCTGCCTGTGTTTGTGTGTGTGCCGAAACCTCACTGACCAGCATCAGCCATCACCCTCAGGGGGCTGCTCCCAGGTGCCAGGATGGATCCCTTGCAGCTGCAAACCCAGAGGTTTCTTACTGGGAGTCCTTCTCCGTCGCATAGGGAAGATTTAAAGGACAGAGATGTCCATTTTCCTGACTGAAAGTCAACTAAAGAGTGGGAGTTGATTAAAACTCACTTTTCTCGTAGTCTGGTTTTGCTTAGTTGGGTGTCTCTGAGTCCCAACATCGAACTCTGCAGCTGTGCTTGGCTTCCATGAAGCACAGTGTGGATGCTTCGCTCCCTTTGTAGCTGCTCCTCTGAGTGGTACCCAGAGCCTCTGTGCCACAAACCTGGTTCTCACTGTGAGACTCTGCTTTTTTGGCTGATACAAATTTCAGATGGAATTTCCTTAGAGCATCTCCAGGTTATGCTGACCTGAGGTCTGAGAGGAGCCCATTGATGGGTGGTTGGAGTCAAACCCATTGTATGTTGTTTTGGGGATAGAAGTTAGTGTAATGCAAATATGAACAGTGTTAATCAACCACACCTGGTCTCCTTAGCATCCAGTGCAAGGTGACACATTTTTTATTTTTGAGGCTGAATGCTGGTCAGTCCCTGCCCTTACATGCACAGCAGTGCACTGCCACAGAGCTCACGCTGCAGTCAGTTCCCTGTTCTCCATAGGGTTGCACAGAGCCATCACGAGGCAGAGTACAAACCCAACAGGTTGTAGAGGATGAGAGTCATTAGGTTGGTGTTGATCTTGGACTGGAGTTCAGGTTTCTTCAAGCCTTCTGTGGGGTCCTAGCCACTGCTGTGCTATGCTCCCATTGTTGGCTTCGCCATCAAGGACGACACGCACTGATTCCTACAGGTGCTGCTGACAGATCCATTGCCCCTTTAAAAGGGATGAAGTCATCTGCCTCCGAAGCCATCTGGCACCACGACAAAGTCAGGAGCTCAGGACAGCAGAAGGCTGGGATGCCAGCCCATGGAGGGGATGTCATCACTCTACAAACAGATGGGACCTTGATGGGATGGGGTGAGATGCTGTGCAAGACCCCAGGAGAAAGCGGTGAAGACCTTCTGGCAGGGAGTGTGTTGCAGTCCTACTTTCATCGTGTGGACCCAGTGGAACCCCGTATCCATTCACTGTCTTTCTGGGATGGCATAGGCCAGATCACGGCTCTCGTCACGGGATGAGCTGGTGATCAGCGTGCATCCCTCCTCCCACTCCATCCGTCTGCGCAGAGCAGCATTAGCTCACCCTGAGCCAATCGGCCTGCACCGTGTGCCGGATGGCTGAGCTCATCGTTGGCGGCGGTGGCAGTGACTGAATCTGGCACGGCGTGTGCCTGCGGTCCCTGCAGGGTGGCCGTCAGTCCGCCACGGCCCTGCAAGGCACGGGCATGGGACTTCCAACAGATCTGCCACTGGACCAAAAGGGTGGTTTAATCAGAACAAACTGGGGATGAGAAATCCTGCTGCAGGTGTCTCTGAGGAACGTCGTCATCCTAGCTTCAGTTTGGGGTTTGTGCAGAAGAAAGAGCTTGGTGGGGATAGCAGTGAAAGAGAAGGGAGAGGAGAACATGGGAAATGATTGGGTCTTCAGGGGGTGGTGGGGAAAGAGGACAGAGAACTAAAATTATCTGGAGGGTAAAGAAGTGATGAGAGGTTAAACTACAAGCCCATGAGTCCAGGTGTCCATCCAGGGGGAATGGGCTGTTCAAGGAGATGCCTCTCCCTCCTCATTGACCCTAAACAAGCAACTTAGACTGGGTGTTTAACTTCTACAGTCCAGTGCATTGGGTCGTATGTCAGGGATTACACAGGCACTAGGAGACCAGGATGGGCAGAGCAGGCACTGCCCATTCTCGTTTCACCCCGAGGTCCCCATTACTCAACCAGAAAACTCTTTCAAAATAGAGTTCAATTTTCATGCAGTGAAATAGCTTTTGTTTGTTTTGGTTTGGACTTCAAAATATAGGACCACCAACCCTTTGATTTTGGAAATGCCATTCCTCTCCTGCTTTGTCTAGCTTTGGGAAAAGTCTGTTCTACTCCAGCCCATTGTCTAAAACCTCTTCTCCCATGGCATATCTGTCTGTCTTCATTAGAAACATTAGAGACATCTCAGCCCCAGACTTCCCTGCTCCTGTTTCAAGCCAAACTGTGTCCCGCTTCTCCTTCAGCTTGGTGCTGAGACCTGATGCCCAGTCACACCTGCAGATAGCAAGCCTTGCTCCAAGGACATCATGAAGAGGTGCCATTGTGCAACGGAGCCTCGTACCAGGAATACGATCTGGGTGATGATTATCTTGATACCATCCTCACTGAACCAGGGGAGCCTGAGCCAAAAGAAAAATTTAGAGCTAAACAGCTCTTGTTTACAGGAAGCCAGAGCACAGTGTCTGGGCTTGTACCAGTGTAGCAGGAGATGTTGCTATTGTCTCACACTGCAAAATATTTTGCTGGTATTGATGGATGGTGTGTCCCTGAGATTTCCCAGGGACGCTCTGGGAGCAATTTCCCTCATTTCTAAAGGATCTTGTGCAGCAGCCTGGGGGAAAAAGTGTTTGCTATGGCTGAACTGGACAATCAAGCAAAGGTCACTGGTTTTATTGACTGTTATTTTTGGCCACAATCACTGTAGGCTTTGCAACTTACACACCACAACTTGTGTTGCTACAGATGAAAGCAGGGTCTCAGCCGTGTTGTAAAGGGTGATGGCCACCCATGGGCATGGTACCAGTAGCCCAAATCTCCATAAATTTGTACTAGTGAACAAACCTACTATCCAAACTCCCACCAATTTCTCACAGGTTATCAAAGGAGAGGGGAGATATTTCTCTCCCAGCAATGAAGCTGTTTCTCTGTGGGCGTCATTACCTTCCATCTGAGTTTACAAAACTGTGGTCCCACGGGCAGAAAGTTGGTAAACTGTTCTGCAGAAGTGCATGAAGAACATCATCTCCAAGGCTTGCCCCGCTCTGGGGCAAAGCAACAACGGAGAGGCAATCAAAATGGCTGACTGCTGTCCAGATGTGGGGGAGGGCTTGCCCACATCTGGCAGGGAGTGTTTCGTGGTGGGAACGGTTTTTCTTTGCCCTCAGCACACAGCTAGGGGCGGCTGTTGTGCCCACAAACAGGACAGTCCAGTTCCCGTGGAGGCAGAAGATCTGTCGGGCCAACTCCATGAGTCAAAGAACATTTACTGTGACCTTATGGTGACAAGAATTGTGTTTGGATCAAACTAGGAGAAAGTTAAAAACAATTGAAAAGTGAGAGAAATGCAGATTACAGAGGCATTACCCCAGAGCTAAGAGTGTATCATAGTGCTGGGGGACACCATCCAGCCCAGTGGGACAGGCCATGAGATCCACCAGCCCATAGGGGTACAGATGAAACTTTCAACCTCTAGGGGACACCTCTAGGCCTGCAGCTTCTCCCAGATGTTTGGCATCTCCCAGTGTTTGCATCCTCTGAAGGATGTGGCAGGACTGGTTAACCTCCTTTACATAGGAGGGGAAACTGAGGCATGCAGATGTTCGTCTATGCTTATGAAGCCAAACAGGGATTATGTGTCTGAGGGGAAGTAGAGGGATGGACAAGGAGTGTGACACTCTAAATTCGCCCAGAAATGGAGTTTCTCCATTTTGTGCAATGACAGGGCTCTGTACCATTGTTGCTGGTTTGGGGCTTTTGCTCTGAAACAGCTTTGAGCCTCCACCCCCACCTCCTCCCCCTGTTTTGTGAAGTTTTGGGTAGAGCAAGAAGGGGCAACCTTCGTTAGGATAAATATGAGAGGCAGTCTGCCAGAAAGATAAATAGAAAAAGGGCTGGGTGAGAGGTGTGGAGGATCCCTGAAGCTGAGGGGCTCTGCATTTATTATCATATTAAGTGCCCTGAACAGCCAAAATAACCTTTTCCATTTTAAGGCACGTACACTTAAAAAAAAAAAAAGAAAAAAACACCTTCTTTAATTGCTACACTTAATTCATTAAAGGATTATAGTGAAGGCTAAAGGAAAAAAAAGTGAAGTGTGACGGGTGGTTTGGCATCCAAACCATCTATGTATGTTTTGGATGTCGCACAGACTCAAACGTGACTCCCCCGCCTGGCGTTCTTGACGCTGTTCCCAGCAGTGCCCCAGAGCCTGGACTACTGGGAGCAATGGGTGTGAGGAGCACGGCCACAGGCAGCACCCTGCTCAGCACAAATCCTTCTCCCTTCCCTTCCCTTCCCTTCCCTTCCCTTCCCTTCCCTTCCCTTCCCTTCCCTTCCCTTCCCTATGCTGCAATAAGAAACAAGGTCTATTTATTTTTATTTTTATTTATTTATTTTATTCAAAATGGACTCTGTCTTGATACGGATTGAGCTATAATAATGAACCCAGGAAGCTGGTTTATCCCCCTGTCCCATTTTTTATTTGGGTTCCCAAAGTTTGGAAGCGAGGTTGATGTACTTCATGCTGATGTATTGGTTGAGAAAGGGTTACAGGAAGCAGTGCTGGTGGCTGGTGCAGGTGGGGGCAATTGGGATCTGATAAATGGGAGGGGAGTGGGCCCTGGCTGCTCTGTAATTGAAAAGTTATAAGAGCTAAGTGAATGCATCTCTGATCATTTTTGTCTGATTTGGGCTATGACTGGAATAGTGGCTTTGGAGTAGAGGAAAGAGAAGCATAAGGGTAAGTCCATCTCAGTGGAGATGTTTATACTGGATTCTGCAACTGGGTGCAGTGATACCTATGGGTCCCTTCCAACTCTGTTCTGTGATTCTGAGCTGCCCCTTGTGGCTCAGTGCTAGGGCTTGGTCACGGGAGATGATGCTGTGCTTGAGGAGTTCAGGGTAGTGTGGTTGTTCTCAGTGAGGTTGTCCCATACTGCATGGAGTGTATTGCCTTCCCAAATCAGGGTGGGCTGGGGAAAGGTGTTGCAACCAGTTTCATCCAACTGAGTGCAGATAAGCCCTGAACAAACAGGCTTGTCCTGAGGCCATGGCTTGGTCTACAAGACCTGAGCATCTCCTGCACATGTGGAGCCTCGTTTTCCCCACTGCTGTCAGTCAATATCTTAACAACATCAAGAGCTGTCTGCTATGGTGGGTGACCTGTGGTGGAGCTTCTGTGGCTGCTGGTTGCCTTGGACTGGGGGGACAGTGTTTGGATGTGTTTGGATGGCCAGAGGAAGAGAGAATATGACTACTTTTCGGAGCTGCTGCAATGCTGCTGCTCAGATTACAGGGGTATTATGCAGGGATTTAATTTTGGGAGTTGTCAGCAGTGCATGCTCACTGGGGACTTCTTTTTGCAAGTGAAGCTCTTGCAGCTTTGGGTGTAATGTTCATTGTTTGAAATCTCCCCCCTGGAGATTTTCCCCTACCAACTCTTATCTGTCTCCGCCATCATAAATATTGTCTCATTTTCTCTCTTTCAAATGGGTCCTGGAATGAATGCTGTGGGCTGTCTTGTAGCCCAGCCTGGGGAATTTGGATTTTATTTGCAACGTGCCAGGGAATTTTGCTTGCCAGTAATGACTTGTGCTGTAATTGTGAACTTCCTCTTAATGGCAGAGCTCTATCTCTTTGCTTCTCTGGTGAATGCTTGCTTTAAGAATGGAGGCTGGAGCCGTGCTGGTGTTTTCTGTAGTTGTTTTTGGAAGTCCCAAAGCACAGGTCTTGGTCATTTTTGCAGCACAGCATCTGGAGGGAGAGAGCTAGGAAGTGCTGTTGCAGCTAAACTTGCCCTGCAAGACAATGGGGAAGGCAGGGCCCCTTCTTACCCCCTCTGTTTCCCCACAGCTGCACGCCTGCTCCTGTTTTCCAATGCCTTCACCTCCTCTCCAAGCTCTGCCCCACAACCTGGCCCTGGGCCACCTCCGAATCAGGGCTCGGAGCCAAACTCACACCCGGGGCAGCAGCGGGAGCGCAGCGCTCCATGCACGCCACCCTGCTTGTGCCTGCCAGTGTCGTCTGTTGGCTGCAATTAGGGCATGAGGAGAGAGTTTACTTAGCCAGCTCCTGCCAGACCCCAGGGTGATGAAAGTTGGTTTTAAAGGTGCTGAGATAGAGCTGGGGAGGGGATCAAAGCACCCTGCCTGCCTGCAGCCGCAGCAGGCGATGCGCGGTGCTGGCGGAGGCGATGCTCAGCCTGCGAGGCTGCAGGAATTGCATTTCCATTTAAATGCAGCTTGTGCTGCCTGGTGAGCGGGGAGCTGCCTCTGTTCCCACGGACTTATTTACCTGCTTGGAAGTGGAAAGTGTTCAGTACCTGGCAGGCTCTGCTGGGCTAATTAATTTATTTAATAACGATGCTTAGCTGCTCTCCAGGCCTGGCTGCTTTGCATCCCAAAGGCTGTGATGACTTTTGTTTTGTTGGGCTTTTTCTTTTAGAAATTCCCAGTGGAGATGCACCCACCTGATTTATGTTTCTTTTTGTTCTCCATTTTGTACAACACCTTGTCCAACAGGGCTCTGATGTGCTGCTGTCATCCCAAAGCACATCCCTGTGCTCTGAGGAGCCTCTAGGAATGTGATGTCAACAGAATAATTCCTAGGGCTCCGTGAATCCGTTGAGTTAATGGTGTGGTCCAGTTAGCCTAAAAGCAGGAGGAGGTTCTGAAGGCTGCAGTCGCTAGAGGGAGACGGGAGCCCCTGCTGCTTGTCTGGATGTGAAGGATTCATAGGCACCTTTTTCCCTTTCCCTTGCAGTCCATGGGAAGAAATCCAGCTGGCTTGGAGAGTGCAGGATGCCCTGCCAGCTTCCTACTATGGCTCTTGTCATCTCGCCCTTCCTGCAGACAGTGGCTGCTGGAAGTGGGTACCAGCCTGTGCCCCAGATGAGGGGTATGTGTGTCCTAGCAAGGCTTTCCCAATTGTTGTTAGAGAGCCTCTGCCCACTTTTCCTGCTGCCCCTGGCAAAGCTGTTGGGACAACTCATTTCAGGGAGCCTGTGTCTTATTGCAACATTCAATGGAAATGTTGTCTGAGGTTGGCTTGCCTTCAGGGACAAGCTAGAAAAAAATGGGGTGTGGGAAAAACTCTGTTATCCTGTAGGGTAAGTGCAGTGCATGCAACTGGTATTACCCAAAGCAGTGCCTGTGGAGGTATGCAGGCACTGGGGACATTGATTTCCTGCCAGGGCATGGGTGCAGGTCCTGCCCCAGGGACTGGGGAGGAGAAGGTGATGTTGGTTGTGTTGCCGTAGCTTTGGCTGGTGTGGGAGCACCTTGCCAGAGCCTGGCTTCCAGCACAGCTCTGCAGGATGAGCTCCAGCATCACCCAGCCCAGATATGGGTGACCATCCTGTTTGCATGGGGTTTTATGTGAGCAGAGCATATCCTGAAAGAGAAGAAAAAGCTTCCAGCACTCTGGCTGAATGGAGGTGTATCTCAGTCCCATCAGCATAACGAGGTGCTGGAGCACAGCTGTCACCCTGCTGTTCTCCACATTTGCTCTCCTTTTCACCCTGAGCCAGCCCTGGGTGTTTCCGTGACTTGCACCCCTGCTTTGTGCCCCAGCGGGTTGTTCTCCTTGCCTTACCGATTCGTACCTCAAACTGCATTTTTCTCTGCAGGTGAGTCACACGCTGTGCTATTGCAACACTCACCTTGCTGCGACCTCCTCAGGAGCTGTGTCCCTGCACGCCGGAGCTCATTTGGGGCTCAGTGATTCAGCTCAGCTCACGGGCCCTGTGCCTCCTCGCTATGCCCAGCTGTGTGTACCCAGGAGAGCACTTCTGCCTGCTGGGCAGTGAATCACCCAGGAGCGGCTCGCCCTGCCTGCTGCCAGCAGGAAGGGAATGGAGGAGAGGGGGGAGCGTGGCTGGGAATGCAGTGGTGCAGAAACCTTCCTGCAGACCTCGGGTTTGGGGCAGCCTTGCAATGCAGCGCTTGGGTTTGGGGTGTGGAGGAGGTAGAGTTAAGAGAAGACGTGGCATTGTTGGCAGACTGGTGCTCTGCGGGTGCTTTGGGCAGGTTGGGACAAGGCCACTGTCGTGCAGAGGACGTCTGCTTTGTCATGCTGAGCTCCCTTCGTGTTCCCACAGCTGGAGGCAGGGGGTTTTCCATGGGGGGGAAGCTGGGTTGAGGCTGTGCTGCTCAGCTGCCACCTCCAGCAGCTGTGGGTGGCATTTTGACTGAGCCTCCATTGTGTTTTCTTTCAGCTGATTTAATTTGCTGTGGTTTCGATTTTCTGTTAGCTGGTGCTTACAGAAAATGGCTAAGGGTGTCTAATTGAAGATCTGCCAGAAGAGATGTGTTGTGGCACTGATAGCAGGCCTAAAGGACACCCAAGGACAACAGACTCTCGCTGTTTGACCTGTCCCAGTGGTACCATTGGGATCGCTATCAGTTGGGAAGGATCCTACAGGAAAGAGCTGGAAGATGAGAGTGAGGATCCTCTGGGCTACTCAGAAAGCTGAGTGAATGGATGAGTCTAATGAGCATATGCTCAGATGAAATCCTTTGAGTACCAGGTGGAGGGTTGTTGCTTCCTAGGATGAGGAAGAGGGCTCACAAACTTCCCTCATGCTGTGTCATTGTTCTTCATGCACCCTCATGCTGGCACTGCTGCCATACACCATCCACACAGCATCCATGCAGTTGGTGCTGAGGCACAGCAGGACAGGGGCTCTGAGGTGGTACAGCTACGTGCCATCAGTAGCTGCAGGGGATGGATCTCAGGTGCACATCTCTAGAGTAAGTCAGGAGACCCACAGCTTTGCATTTCTTCTGCAACCAAATGTCCTGATAAAATCCTTGCTTCCAACTCCCTGAATGCTCAGTGACTGCTGTGACACTATAGCTGTGGGCAGGGAGTTGCCTGCAGACTGCTGACTATTAACACAGCCATGAATACTCATATGAGATGGTTTTATTCATGATTTATCACAGAATAAGCCCGTAGAAATATAGGGAATAGTTCAGGTGAGATCCCTTGGTCTGGTTCAGTATCCCAATAGGATACTGTGGGATCTGCAGCTCAGGGAGGATGGAGGTGGCACACAGAGCTTGCTTCCCTGTGGAGCTGAGCTGAATGCTCTGTGGTGGCTGCATGATGCAGCTGGCTTTTGCTCAGTGCCTTTTGGAGGAGGATGAGTGGATGCAGTGCAGCAGGGGTACCCGAGGAGCTGCTGCATGGTGCTGATGCAGGCGCTTCTCCTTAGCCCCAGGCAATTATCTAGCAGCAATTATCTCCTGTGGGTGCCACCCAGAGTGAAGCTCTCACTGGGTTTTGTTTCCCAGACGTCTAAAGACTTGCCTGGAAAAAAAAGAGTCCCACTGAAAAGCTTGCATCACTCCTCTTGGTGCATTGGAGTGAAGGTATGAAGCAGACCTGTGACAGAAAACACTTTGCACAGAGGGCACAGAAGCAGTACATGGGCATCTGCGTGGGCTCCAAAGCATCATGACTGTGGGTTTAGAGGGGTGTGTGTCACTTGTGCACTGGCATAAGCTGCCTTCTTTCTCAGCATCCTCTGATGTGAATATGCTGTGTGGTCCCTGCCCCAGACTGGCTGAGAGCAGAGAGCTGCTGCTGAGATGCTGGAGAGGCTTCTGGGTGTCAGGCAGCCCTGTCACAGGGCATTAAGCTAAGGGCATGGCCACGAGCTGCTGGGGGCTGCCCATGCTTTGGGTGGCAGAGCTGATGCCTGCAAGTGTTCTGCCCTTTTCTTTGGTTCCAGAGGAG